TGTGGGTATATGCACATGTGGGGGTAACAGAAATACATGTGTGTGTGAGAGGCATCTTCCTCAGTGTTCGCCATCATTTTTTTCATTTATTTGCTTCTGGGGCGGGGCGCATGCACAGCATTCACTGGGCCCAGAGGAGAAGTCAGTTCTGCCTCGACCATGTGAGTTTAAAGGAGAAAACTCAGGCCATCAGATCTGCTAAGCCCTCTCGACAGCTCTCCACCCTGTTTTTTTAAGGCAGGGTCTCAGTGAACCTGGAGTTTACTGACTTAGCTAGGCTAGCCAGACCATGGTCTCCAGGAATCTGCCTGCCTCCGCCGCCCTAGTGCCAGGGTTATGGATGTGCACTGCCACACCTGGCTTTAGAGGCATACCGGAGATCTGAACTTAGATCCTCCTGTGTACTCACCGAGCCTCTCCCCAGCTTGTGTGGACTGTTTCACCCAGTAAGCGGCTCCATCACTGTTACGTTACCTTGGCTGGAAGCTTTGTATGCTGGCCGAATCCTCTGAGCTGCCTACGGTCTCCCCAAAGACATTGATCCATGTTTCATATGAGGATACTATTTCAAAGATGGAAAGCAGTTCATATACCCTGGTCACATAGTGAGCAAGAATGACAGCAGGGTTATGTCTTCGGACCAGTTGATGGCAATGCTCTAAGCGTGATGGCTCTGGGACCCCGTGCCCTGTAGGTGGGGCAAATCAGTGAGGAGCCCAGTCCAACCATCCTGTTTCCCAGCCCTAAGGCTTCTGAGCAGAGGAGCTGGGGTGCCCTGGCTCCCCCAGGCCCTAGCTGCAGGAGAGAATCTCCCCCAGTGTTTCCCCTATACCTCAGGGCACGCACTGGATTTCATGCCCACCTGGCCACTGTCGTATCCTCCCTGCCCCCACGTCTTCAGCACATACTGGGCCCCTGTGACCTCCAAGTCCACAGGAAACCTGCGAAGAGCCAGGCCCCCCATGTCTGCCCTGATGGGTGAGACTCCACAGATAGGACCCATGTGCTCTGCTCCTGCCCTGTGCCCTCCACTTCCTCCCGTCAGGAGCAGCTGTGAAACTCTGAAACAGAGCGCGAGCCTGGGGGACACAGTGCTCATAAATAGAAAGCAGCTAATAATAATAATTGTGGGTTTGAGAATCATCAGGGGCTGCAGGGCCCAGCCTCACACTCACCCCCCCCCCCAAACACACACAGAGCTCCAGAGGGAAAGGTCACCCCTTGCCAGGATGGTAAATTCCTTTCACGCTTTGTGATTAACCCACACTACATTACACTTTCCTTGGCCCGATTCAGCAGGGACACCAGGCAAGGCATTTGCCACAGACACAGCTCCTCCAGCTGGAACTGCGTGTAGGACGGTCGTCCTCAGTTCTGTCCTCATCATCCCGACCCAGTGGCCCCCAGTTCCTCGGGTGTGGGAGGAAGATGGGAGCTGGATACCAAGTGTCCCGGAGCACACTGGCACAGCTCTTTCCATGGGCCGCCCACCCCAGGTTAGGCTGGAAGAGGCTCTGGTGGGGAAAGGTGGCGATACAAGATGGCTGGCGTGAAGGGGATCCCTGGACTGAGCTTCCTGCAGTAGTTTGCCGTTTCCACCACCCAGCTACTACAAGTTCGGGGCGGGGGGGTCCTACACACTTCACACTCTTGACATTGTAGTGACACTGTAGTGTCAGCAGCGTAGGGGGCAGACCAGGTCTAGAAGCTGAGGAGGAGGGAGATGATGGAGAGCACCATGGTCCCTGGGCCTGAGGGATAGGGACTCACTCCACGCTGGCTCATGGAATGTCCTTAGCATCCCTCTGGCCGTGTGCCTGACCACCCCGATGTCCTTATCCGGATCTCCTTGGCTTCACACACACGCTTCTGTTAGTGCGAGTCACATCTGCTGCCCAAAGCCCCTCAGCGCTGCAGGCGTCAGGGATAGACCCCTGCCAGAGGTAGAGGTGGAAATCAGAGGACAGAGGCTGCCAGCTGTCGGCAGCGGGGCATCTTCGTCCCTGCTGGGCTGGGTCCACGGTGCTGTTGGCCCATCCCCAGCACAGAGGGAGAGGGAGCTGGAGACGGCACATGCACGTAGCCCATAAATATTTCTAACCGCAGCCAGCACGTCTGACTGGGCAATTTGCTTTTTAAAAAATTGCGCTCTAATTTTAAGTGAACAGCCCCTAATTATGGTGATTCGCAGGCACCTGGGGACCGGGTGGCATTTGAACATGGCAGAGCCGTGCCGGGACTGATTGGCAGGGTGTCGTTCAACCTGTCCATGCTGATCAACCAGGACCACTTCCCTAGGTGGGGCTGCACCAGTGCCGAGGGGCAGGGCACTTGGGGGAGACCTGTTGAAAGAGTGGGCAGAAGACCTGGATGGGGCTATTTGGGCCATGCTCAACTTGTGGTACAAACCCAGACTTGGTTTTGTTTGAGACTTGCAGAGGGGGGGGACACACTTCCTGCCCTCCCTCCATCCTTCCAGAGGGACTTTCCAGGACTTGTGCTGACCGCACAGAGGCTCCGTGAGCAGATAGCCCTGGAGTGGGTTTCGTGTGGTGTCGTTAGCTCTCACCTATTTATCGGAAACAGGAAAACAGTGCTGGCAGCTAAGGTCTCTTCTAAATAAAGGGTGGGTGTGGTGGTCTGTCATCCGAGCTGCTCAGGACACAGGCGGGAGGATCACAGTGCACGGCCAGCCTGGAAAACTTAATGAGACCTTGTCTCAAAATAAAACAATATTAACAAGAGGACTTGTTACAAGAGGTGTGTGGTAGAGCCCCTGCCTAGAATCCCCCAGTGAGGGGCTGAGGTGTGGCTCAGTAGTAGAGCACCTGCCTAGAATCCTCTAGTGCAAGGACTGGGGGTGTTGTTTGGTGGTGGAGTGCTTGTCTAACCTGTATGCGGTCCTGGGTTCCATCCCTAATACCACACACACACACACACACACACACACACACACACACACACACACACACGATCACCTGAGGAGGGACAGGGAAGACATGACATCTGGAAGATCCTCCTGAGGGGACCCATACCGTGGGGGTCCTGGTACAGGAAAGAGCCCTGGAGGCTGTGCCCCCACCTGCTCCTGCCCCCACCCAACTGGCTCCGCCTGCTCCTTCCCCACAGCTGCCTCAGAGTCAGCCCCTCTGACATTTCGGGAAAAACATTGTGAGTCGAGAGCAGAAGGGAGAAATGAAAGGATTTTCTTGAGAAAAGGTCAGAGTGGTTTCTCTTATTTTTGTTTAAAGATGGTTTGTGTTGAACTATGACAAGGCTAAATGTATTAAGGGCCATGGGAACAGGCTGGGGGGTCGGCCCACGCGAGAAAACAGGAGGAAAACCCAGGTAACAAGCAAGCCAGAAGACAGCTCGGCAAGTCAGTGAGACAAAGCCTCGCATGCCCTGAGGCAACTGCAGTCCCCCCAGGTCCCCTCTTGCTCACGCTGGGGAGTCAATGCTAGTCATGGGCTGCCAGGACCCATGGGAGCAGCCTGGCCATCTGTGTGGCTCCCGGGAGCAAGGGCACCTGCAGAGCCGCTGGCAGGAAGGACCTTTCAGAACAAACTCGTCCTGCCTTGGCTTCGCTCTGGCCGTGCATTCGGGTTCCCATCATCACATCCATTGTGCGTTCGTTGGCACAGGCTAATCCACAGAGACACGCTAAGCCTAACTCTCTCACCCTGGTACACACCAGCCTGCCTCCTGCCCCTACCGTATTGTCTTGTATGGATGCCTTGTGTCAATGGCATCCCATAAACAGGCTCCTGTGCTTAGAGCTGACCCTGAGCTATCATGCATCAAGCCTTATTCCTTTTCATGGCTGAATTATTTGTGTGTGTGTATATGTGTGTATGTATGTATGAATGAATGAATGAATCATGTCACTATGGACAGTGCATTACATCTCAGTGTGGACACATGTATTTAGTTCTTCTGAGTGCACAATGAAGAGATACTAATGGGTCACATGGTCATGCTTAGGAATTGCCTGGCTTTTCCACAGTAGCTGAACTTCCTGCCGATTCTGCACAGGTCTTCTGATTTCTCCTCATCCTGGCCAGATCCCTGCCTTTCCTATTGGGCTCTGACCTACCTGATGTCCCCCTGGTGACTCCATAAGACCACTGACTTTACTAGACCTTCCACTTCTTCCCTGAGGAACCATTCAGTCTGACCTTTGCCCAGCTCCCAACTGGACCCAACTGGATCTGTGGTCAAATGAGGAGGGCCCTGGGTTTGCCAGACCCTAGTTCTGTATCAGACCCCAGGTCTGGGAGAGCCCTGTATGGGTTTGTGACCGCTTCTCACCTGGCCTTGCAAGTGGGGATCTTTTGCCCCTAACCAAGCAGGCTTTCTACATCTTTGGCCACTGCAGCATGCTGGGAAAATCAGGATGACAAGGAGGCCCAGGGCCTCAGTCTGCTTCTCCCAGCCTGGCCTGCATGGTGAGAGGGCAGCTTGGCTAGACAGCCAAGTAACCTGTGCAGGCCCTGGGAGGCCAAGCTCTGTGCCACGGTGGCTCTGAGCCGTCTGCACACTCCACTCCCACCCCCATCACAGAGGTCACAGAGCCACTCTGCCTTCCCTGCAGTTAGAAGTGACATGAGAAAACAGGACAGAACCAGTCTGGGCTCCAGAGTCTACCCTTCCAGGAGCCAATATCCAGTATCTTGGCTTCACAGTCTGGAAGATGCTTGGGGCTTGCTCTACCTTCCCAGGCCATGCATGGAACAGCTGAAGGGCTGGAGACTGGAATGGAGGCTCCAGGGGTCCACATCCTGTTGTGGTAAAGCATCCCTAAGGCAGGACTGGCTGCCTGCTGTGAATCTCAGCTCCCTCTGCAGATGACCTTGAACTTTGCCTCAGTGGGCATTGGGCAGAAGCAGGCCAGTGCCCCCTCTAGCCTGGCTGCAGTCATGGTAGCAGGCAGTACAGGCTTCCGGTCCCTCACCCCTCCAGCAGTCAGTGCTGATGGCCTCTCTTCTCTCCTCCCGCAGGCCACAGGACCCTCGGGCTCCAAGATGCAGCTGCTGGAGACGGAGTTCTCCCGCTCGGTGCCTGAGCTCATTGAGCTGCACCTGCTGCAGCAGGACAGCATCCCTGCCTTCCTGAGCGCCCTCACCATCGAGCTGTTCAGCCGCCAGACCTCCATCTAGCCTCTGCCTGTGGGCCTCCTCACTCTGCAGCCACTGGACCTCGGCCTACACCCCACACTGTCCCCAGACCCCCTTGCCACCATAGCTGCATCATGCCACAAAAAGCAGCCATAGTCTCTGCTTCAGCAGCCACTCCGCCTCTTGTCCCTAGCCAGCAGGAGCAGCTGCTGGGGATACCCAAGCCAGATCACACCCCATTGCTCTCCTCTCTTGCCCCAAGCACTGGGCTTCTCCTCCTCTTCCTCCTGTTCTGGGGCTCTCCCTGCACTGTCCCAAGGTGTCCCCACACCAGCCTCCAGTCACACGTGCTGGTTGCTTGGGCCACTTTGGTGGCCAGGCTGTGGCCTGAAACCGTATGAAATAAAGTTTTATTCTTTAGCACTCTCTCCATGTCTGTATCCAAAGCGCCAAGCTACCTCACTGCCCAGACCTCACCACACCCCTGTCGTGCCCACCGGACACCCAGGCAGACCCCATCACACCCCTGTCGTGCCCACCGGACACCCAGGCAGACCCCACACTGTGCCCCACTGGACACCTGGGCAGGCCCCACCACACCCCTGCCGTGCCCCCCTGGACGCCCGGGCAGGCCCCACCACACCCCTGCCGTGCCCCACCGGACACCTGGGCAGGCCCCACCACACCGCCTGCCGTTCTCGGACATCTGGGCAGCCCACTCATACATGTGTCCTGAGAGGTAGCTGAGGTCAGGGAAGCACTTGTGCCCCATCCCTCCAGAGCCTGGGTGTCTCCTCCCTGCCTTGCTTACTCCACCTGCCTCTCCCCTGCCTGAGGCCTCTAAGTCCAGAGTCCCTTTGCCAGCTCCCCCTGCAAGGACCCCTACCTAGGCCTCTAGGCTTGTGTACCACAGCAAGTGTCCTGATGGGCAGGGGTGGAGAGGGCAGGGTCTGAGTTGGGAGTGTGTCTGGGCTAGCCTGAGAGACAAGGCACCTGATCATGTGATCCTCGTGCATTGGTGACCTGCCACCCGAGTGTGTCAGACCCTCTTTGCATGCCTGCAAGAGAATGTAATGAGGCAGACCGCTGGGAGTGCCCAGGCTTGGCCTAGGAGCCCTGGGCCAGAGAAAACTCTTCTTTTGTCTGCCCCTGGCTTTTACCAGCTCCTCAGTGGGCACCCTGAGCTTAAGCTGCTAGTGACTCACTTTAAGGGATTAGTGCCATGGTGGCAGGCGTCACAGCCGGGAGGTAACAGGATTTGCTGTGTCCCAGCCTCCAGCTCTCTTACCAGGGGACCCTCGCTATCCCTATGTCCCCTATTGCTCTCAACAGGGGCAGCCAATGCTGACCTATAGCTGAGTTCTTTGTTGCCTTGTCCTTGGGCCTGGTGCAAGGCCCTCTGGGAAGTACAGGTTGTAAGATTCTCTCCAGTTCGCAGCCCACCCCAGGGACCAACCAGCCACCAGGGCTGTTGAGAGGTAGGAATGGAGGTACCAGGGCAACATCTGAATCGACCTACTTTGAGACCCCAGGCCATGGGTACAGGCTGCACGTGACTGAACTTCCCAACTCACAGCCCTCTCCCATGACAAGTGGGTCCCCATCTCATCACACCCTTCAAGCTTGGTGGTATCAGGCTGCAGGGTCAGGTTTAGGATGAAGGGGTTCTGTCCAGTCACCTGTGGCTCTGGACTCAAACCCAGCTCTCCCAGCTGCCAGGCCTCAGAATCAGACATAGATAGTCCCCTCCTACATCCGTGTCCCTAATGTCCCTGGCCAAGACCTGGCTGTCTTCATCCTCAGGCTGGGAAGGGAGACGCGGACCCAGGAGTTCGCAACTGAGAATGCAAACATTGACACAGTGCACCATTGCACATGCAAAGTGTCCACCCCGTATACATATGTAGCATGCGGTTGCATATGAAAGCATGTGAGGCATAACTGTATGTGTGCATGTATACACCAGAGTGTATGCTGGCAATCTCGGTACTGCTTCCAGCCCAGCGGAGGGTGTGCCTCGCTCACTCACAAGGGGGGTGTTGGACAGATCAACACCCGGGATCTGGGAGCCCCAGCCAGGCTTGTATTTATGCCGGCTTTCTGCTTAGCTCCACAATTAAAGCAAAACCAGTAAGCCTCCACAGAGAGGAGACTGGAGGAAGGAAATGCCCCTCCCTTGGCTCGCAGCCCAGCGGGCGTACCTGCACACCTCCCGTGTGGATGGGCAAAGGCGCCCAGGTTTGTTTCGTTGGATTCTGTACAGGAGTTTTTAATAACTGGTTTGTTGTACAGTTCTAATTTTTCTCAACAGCCGTCCACGGATCTGTAGCCACTGGGTTTCATGGCTGGATCTGAAAGACACAGACATGGAAAGTTCTCGAAGGCTTGAGAACTGAGGCTCACAGGAACACCAGGTCCTGAGTGAAGGTGAAGCCACCAGCAGCTCCCAGGGCTGCCGTGTTTTGGAGTCATTTAGGGACACTATTATCTTTCCTTTCCTGTGTGTGTGTGTGTGTGTGTGTGTGTGTGTGTGTGTGTGCGCGTGTGCGTGCATGAGCGCGTGTGTGTCACACATGCTACAGAGCAGATATAGTGATCAGAGGACAGTTTGCCGGAGGTGGTTCTATCATTCCTCCATGTGGAACCTGGGGATTTGAACTCAGGCCATCAGGCTTGGCAGCAGGCACCTTTCCTTGCTGAGCCATCTCACTGGTACCTGGTTAGGGAGCATCTTGCCTGGAATCTGCCTGCACACTGGCTGCCGTGTGCTGTACCACAGAGCACCTTCACCAGAGGCAGTCCCAGGATGAGGGGATAGCTGGAGGCAGAGGCTGCAGGAACAGTCCAACCTGGCTGGCAAGATGGCTTGGTCGGTAAGGTGATTGCCACCAAGCGCAAGGTCATTCGTGCGTGTCCTCACATAAACAAAACAAACATAAAAACAAGGCATGGCGGTGCATGTCTGAAGAGGGAGACAGGAGGATCCTGGGGGTTCTCTGGCCAGCCTGCCTCACCTAACCAGTGAGCCCCAGGTTCAGTGAGAGACCTGTCTCAGAAATGACTAAGTAAGGTGAACGACTCCTGGCCTCTCCATGCACTCATGGGCGTGCACAGGCATACGAACAGAGACCATCAGAACAGACACAGAGGGATGACCCCTAGAGGACCCAAGGAGGTGTGTCTACAAGCCTTGACCTTGAGAAGATGGATGTGTTATTTAAACCAAGATCACAGGTGGGCCCCACTTCCCACCCAGGCTGCTTCACCTTCCTTTGTGACATTTAGCGGCACCTTGCTCTCTGTTTAGTGAGTCACTTATAATATGCATATATATGTAGGGAGATATTTTAATCAGTCTCTTCTCACCTATGGAACAGTGCTGCCTCCAGGAAATGTCACATTGATGACATTCATCATTTAAAATGTTCAGTAGGAGGCAGGAGAGATGGCTCAATGGTTAGGGACACAGAACTCTCTTCAGAGGACCTGGATTTGGTTCCCAGAACCCCAGTTGTGTGGCTCACGTACATCTGTAACCACAGTTCCAGGGGGATCTGATGCCCCCTTCTGGCCTTCTGGGGTACTGCCCACACATGCACATACCCTCACACAGACACATATATAACAATAAAATCTGGGATGTTCGTTCAGTGGCCGCACTGAGGAAGTAGAGAGTGGAGCTGATGCGATGTTCAGGGCGATGGTTCAAGGGCAGCACTTGTTACACAAGTGTGAGGTCGCGAGTTTGAATCCTCAGAATCCACATGAACCCAGATGCAATACCACACATCTGTAATCCCAGTGTCCTTCAGAGATGGGAAATGGGGATGGCAGAACCCCTAAAATAGAGGTTCTCAGCCTTCCTAATGCTGCAACCCTCGTGTTGTGGAGACCCCAACCATAACATTTTCTTTGCTGTTTTGTGATTGTAATTTTGCTATTGTTAGGAATTGTAATATTTATTTGGGTTTTTTTGATGGCCTTAGGTGACCCCTGAGAAAAGGTCACTGGACACCCTGGGGTCGTGACCCACAAGTCAAGAACCACTGCCTTAGAAGCTTGCAAAACTAGCCAGCTGTTCTGGCATATGTAGCAGCCAAGGAAGACTGCCTTGAACAAGACAAGACCAACACCCAAGTCTGCCCTCTGACCTCCACATGCATGGTGTGCAACACACGTACTCACACTCACACACACATGTACACAGAGACACATTGTATACACTCAGAGATGCAAAATGAAGTATGGAAGTGGTAAGCCTGCCGAAAGAGGATGAGACAGTGGGCTCGTGAGATGGAGGCCAGCCTGGACCACACTTTCAGAGCCGGGTAGAAGTGTTTACATCAGTCAGTAGCATATACCCTAAAATTGGAATACAGAGGTCAGAGGTCAGTGTGGTCCCTGCCCAGGGGTGACATGAAAATTAGAGCCAGGTGTGAGTACACACCTATAATCTCCGCACTTAAGAAGCTGAGACAGGAGGATGGTGAATTCAAGGCCAGTTTGGACTACACAGTTCCAGGATAGACTGGACTACGTAACAAAGCCTTGTCTCGGAACAAACCAGGAACAGAACTGGGGAGATAGCTTAGTGGGTAAGTGCTCGCTGTGGAAGCAGGGGGAGTGGAGTTTGGATCCCCAGCCCCCATGTAAACTAAGGGGATGGCTTGCCTGTCAGTCAGTAATCCCAGCACGGGGGGTGGGGAGATGCTTACCCCAGCCTCACTGGCTACCCAGCCTAGCTGAATCAAGCAGATCAAGGTTCAGTAAGAGATTATTTCAAAAATTAAGGAGGAAAGCATTTGAGGAGGGCCTGACATTGACCTCTGGCCTCCATGCACACACATGGGTGAGTGCACCCACAAACACCACACACACACCCCAAATTAAAAAAAAACAGAGATAAAACAATAAAGAAGTCATTGAAACTAATTTCCAAATACTTTATGTAACAATACATCCACAGTTTTCCCACTCAGCCTGCGATTATCTTCAAACAACCACAACAAGACATAGGTCCATCTCTGTTAGTGCTGAGTCTTGGAAACTCGGGCATCTTTTCTACTTTTTGCCCTCCTCGGGTTGGACTATCCCACTCGGGGTTCAGTGGCCAGGAACAGTCAGCTGTCCTCTGTGGGTCCACAGCAGTGGTCCTGGCCTGTCAGGCTGTGGACAGCCACCGGGCAGACCACATTCACACAAGCCGTCCGTTCTTCCTGACGAAGTGAAGCGTGTGTCTTAGTGATGGTTAAGCCGCGTGGATAGGAAAGGGTTTCTTTCAGCTTCCAACTTGGGCATCATCCGGGAAATCAAGGCAGGAACCTAGAGGCAGGAACTGATGCAGAGGGGTGCTACTTACTGGCTTGCTCCTCATGGCTTGCTCAACCTGCTTTCTTTTTTTTTTTTAGTATTTTTTATTT